ATGGATTTCTGTTGTTTAAGCCACACAGTCAGTGATATTCTGGCATGGCAGCCCAAACAGACCATAAAGGCCCCAGGAGGAGATGAAAATTCAGGATGTATGTGTGACCAACCACATCCTCAGTGGTCCCTTCCTGCTAGAGTTATCTACCTCATTGGCACCTTTATGTTCATCTACTCAACAAACTTGTGCTTTGATTATTTTGTGGATCTAGTCCCCAAACAAGTTAGAAATTAAGTATACCTGCAATTTAGAAAAGAAGGAGGGCCCCTGTCCCTAGAAAATGAGTGAGCATTTCTAAGCAGCTTTGCTCTCCACAGGCAGAAAAGGCGAAAGAAACTTTCGGTGTGAGCAAAGACCCAGAACCTGAAGAAGGAAGGGTTGGTGCCTTCATTCGTCCCACTGGTATTTCTTTTGAATACCTACAATATGCGAGTGGTAAAGAAGGGGTGCAGGGAACAAAACAGACCTGCCCTCTGCTCCTGGGAACATGATGAAAAATTATTCAGAGCACAGAGAATGTGAAAGGAGTAATGGGAAGTAAAGTTCGGAGAGTGGGAAGGGAACAGATTGTGGCAGCTTTGAACTTCTGTCTAGAAAAATATTATTTATCCAGGAGAAGCACAGGGAGCCATTGCAACTTATCAAGCAAGAAAGTGCCCTGGTGATGGTTGACTTTTAAAAATACGAATCTGGACGCTATCAGTTGGCTCAGTTGGAGTGGGGAGAACTAGAGACTGGAGAACAGTTAAAGGATGAATACTGCAAACCCATAATAAAATTCTAAGGCCTCCGACTGACTGAGTGGACACATTCCTTCTTGGCCAAGGGGATCCCAAAGAAACCTGAAAACCTAGTTTAGGCCATGATGGGAAGGGAAGTGTTAGACACACCTTGGAGTTCTGACACCACTAACCAGCATTGACATTAAAATAGAGGTCACAAGACTGCCATACAAAACAGACTCTTTGTAGCAATAGGATGTCAAATTCCACCCTGACTCTGGCATACCATCACATGACAGATAACACACCTTTAAGAAAATTAATATGTTTTATCCGAAATATCTTTCTTTGATATATTTTGGAATGGATCTACAAAGCCATCTTTTGTGGGAGAAATTTTTTTTCCTATAGAGAACCTCTTTCCCTTACTAGGTTTTTTTAGAGAGAGGGACACCGTCTAAGACTCAAAAGGAGACTTTTATCATCTATTCTCTCTGAAACTTGCTATCTGGAGGCTTCATCTACATAACAAGAAGCTTGATTTCCATAATCTTCCTTATCTTAGCTCAAGCATTTCTTTGTATTGATTTCAACTCTTTAGGCAAAGCTTAACTCTTTAAATCAATTGCCAATTGAAAGTTATGACTCTACCTGTGAGCCCCCCACTCAAGATGCCCCACCTTTCTGGGCTGAACCAATGTATTCCTTACATGTATTGATTTATATCTTTGCCTGTAACTTCTATCACCCTAAAATATATAAAACCAAGCTATAACTCAACCACTCTGGGCAAATGTTCAAGGACCTCTTGAGGCTGTGTCCCAAGCCATAGTCATTCCTATTTGGCTCAGAATAAACTTCTTCAAATATTTTAATTTTTTTCGCATCAACAGTACTAAAGCTCAGACAAGCTGTAATAAGAGCCTGAATGAAGGTAATATGAACATTATTGATGTTTGCTGGCACCATACCATATACTAATATCAACAGAAAATTAGTATATATTTTCTGTTGATATTAGTATATGGGATATACTAATATCCCATATACTAAAGGAATATATTGTCTTAAACAAAAGGGATATATTGTCTTAATCACATAGAATTACTGTCAGTGAAAAGAGTAAAACTGCAAAATATTTGAAGAGATATATTCTGAGCCAAATATGAAGACCATGGCCTGGGATGCAGCTCTAGGCGATCTTGAGAACATGTGCCCAAGGTGGTAGGGCTACAGCTTGGTTTTATACATTTTAGGAAGACATCAGACATCAATCAATACATATAAGGTGCACATTGGTTTGGTCTGGAAAGGCAGGACAAATTGAAGTAGGGGCTTCCAGGTCATTGGTAGATTCAAAGATTTCCTGATTGGCAATTGGTTGAAAGAGTTTATCTATAGACTTGGAGGCCATAGAAGACAGTGTCTGGGTTACAATAAGGGGTTATGGAGATCAAGGTTCTTAATATGCAGATGAAGCCTCCATATAGCAGGCTTCAGAGAGAATAGATTGTAAATGTTTATCAGACTTAAAAAGGTGCCAGACACTTTCCTTAATTCTACCCTAAATCGGGAAAAAACCTGGAAAGGGAAGAGTGAGGAGTACAGAATGTGGATTTTCCCCACAAGAGACAGCTTTTCAGGGCCATTTCAACATATGTCAAAGAAATGTATTTTGGGGTAAAATACTTCCATTTATTTCAAGGCCTGCTATGTTGTCATGTTGACACCTAATTGCTACAAAGAGTCTGTTTTGTCAGTTTTAAGGTCTCTGCTTTAATGTTAATGCCGGTCAACTGTGCTTGAATTCTAAAGGGATGGAGGTATAATGAGACATGTCCAACCACCCACTCCCATCATGGCCTAAACTAGTATTTCAGATTTACTTTAGGATACACTTGGCCAAGAGGAAGTGTCCTTCAGTTAGCTGGTGATTAGAATTATATTTCTGGTTTACAATATTATCACATATTGGAAAACTCACTAACACAGAGATTTGTCTTCTAATATCGAGGCAACAAAGCATAGGTCTCTTGGCCACATCTAATACCATTGTAAGCAGGGAAGTGGTGGCCACATTGTCCAAAGTCCTATAGATCAATAAACTCTTAATATCGACTTCAAAAGCCAGGAAAGTCTCCCATGACCTTATAATAAATTTCAGCTAATTATAATGAAACAGAAGGAATTGTCAGATTTAAGTTGGGAAAATGCAGTTGGAATCTATTCTGAGACCTTCTGGCTATGGACCATTGGCAAGTGACTTCATCAACACACCCCTCCCCTACTCCAATCATTGAACTTCGGGTAGATATTTAACATCTGGCTCTCTAAGGAAAAAAAAAAAAAGCCATGATTTACAGCTTTTCCAATTCTAGAGTTTTAAAACTCCCATCATAGCCAGTTTCAAGCCAGAAACGTGATGTCAACAAGTTCACCGAATTCCTAAAACTTAATTGATTCTCAGCCAGTTCTAGCACACCGCTGCTTCCAAAGCTTAGCTTCCACATCTGAAAAATGGGAATCACACCACTTCCACATGGCCACAGTCAAGATTGAGATAATGTAAGTAAAAATACCTAAGACAGGGTTATTAGCATACATGAGTGGTATTTGAGAAATGTTGAGCACCTGCTATGTAGCACACACTGTTCCAGGAACTGAAGATTCATCGGAGAACAAAACAAAAGGTCGGCTCAGCTGGGATTGATGTTCTAAATAGGAGAGATAACCAGAAAGAAAAAAAGAGAAAGAGAGAGAGAGAGAGAGATGGATGATAGACAAATAACCAGTCAGTTAGTCTGGTAGTGATAAGTACTAGAAAGAAACATCAGATAAGGATGAAGAGAAAGAGGAGTGGTCATACTATGTCACATATGATAGCCAAGAAAGACCTCACTGATGAGAGACATCTGATGAGAAACCTGAGTGAAATGAAGGCATGACTATGAGATTATATGGGGAAGGGTATCCCAGGCAGGGCAAGAGCTCATGCCAAACCCTGGGGCAGGTATGATGGGCTGGTCCGACCCCGGAGACAGAAGGAGGCCAGGTGGGTGGGAGCATCTGAGTGAGTAGACACTGGTGGAAAGTGCAGTGGGAAGGGAAGCCAAGAGCAAAGGTGAGGCGGGGGAAGGTCTCAAGCCCTGACCATCTCTTAGGCACCTTTACACATCTGGAGACATAGTGGGCAGGGGCCAGGGACAGACAAGGCTGCAGTCCTGTCCCTCTGCCTTCCCTGCACAGAGGAGGATCTACCAGCTGTGCTCTAATAGTCTCACTCCTTCATGTTTTCAACTGTTCAAATGTTTGCTCAAATGGCAAATATTGGCTCCAATGGCTTCCATGGTCAGGCAGCAGTCTAGAGACAAAAACTGAGCAAAACTTGAGATCTTGCTTTTCATGGACCTACCTGGCCATGGAAGGAGACAGAATACATCAAAATGTAAATAAACGCATTAGCTGGGCTATGAAGACAATCAAATAAGGTGGGCTGATAAAGTCCCCCTCTTAGATATAAAAATCCTCTTGGGCCAGGATCCTGCTGTTGCCTTGTATTTCAATGCCCGGTTCTAGCACAGTCCTAACTGGTGCTCTCAGTAGCATTGCTCTAAACAATTGACCAGCAGTAACCAAAGTAGACTGGCAACAGCCCCAAGAGATGAAAAGAGCCCTTTTCCTCCTGGCATGAACTTTTCCAAACTACAAGGATGAGGAAATGCCAACTCTTTATATAACTAAGAAATCCTAAGACATGGGGTTTTTTGTTTGCTTGGTCTGTTTCTTCTTTTGTTTTTTAAATGTGATTCTTAGGACACCTGCCACAAAATCATCTGGGGTCTTTATTAAACAAAATACAAACATCTGGGCCCCACCTCAGACCCACTGAATCAGAATAACTGGAGAAGGAGCCCAGACAACTGTATTTTCAATGACTTCCCAAAGAATGTGGATGCTACATTGCTGATGTTTGAGAGCCACTGCTCTAAAGCAAAAGTACAACGCACAAGGCTTCTTTTCATTTCAGTTGCAACTGTCTCCACAAAGCATTCCTAAGAAGCTCGTCTGTAAATTTCCTCTGCAGAAACTGCAGCACCAGTCACAAGCTGATTGTTCAAAGAGATGCAGGGGGAGATGGGGCCCGTGTGACGAGAGCAGCCCATCAACTGATCCATTCATTCAAAAAACTCCACATGCAGAAAGACTGGATGGCTTTAGTGTAAGCGCCTCACTGTCTGGGGAGCTGAAGGAGAGACTTTCTGGAATATTCCCTACCTGTGAAGAGGGCATGGTAGCGGAGGCCCTTCTCCTTGTCCTGATGGGAGCAGACATCAAATAAGTAGGCTTTGATGGGCCCATCAATGAAGTCAGCAGCAAAATCAAAGAGAACCACACCTATCATGGTGACACTTATGGCCCAAACCAGCTTCCTCCTTGGGTTAGCAATCAAAGCTAAAAGAAAAATAAACATTGGTCTCCTAAATCCTGTTTTAGAATCATCCATCCGTGTTTTGTAATTTCCACCTAAACCTCTTGTCAGAAAATCATCTCTCTTGCTTTTATTTTGCTTTTTGTTCCAAATAAAATAGCTTCATATTTTTTCAGGTTTTAAAACATTATGCAAGTGAATGTCCAGAAAGCACAAATCTATGGAGACAGAAAGTAGATTAGTGGTTGCCTAGGGCTGGTGTATAGGAGAAAAGGGGAAGTGACTGTTGACAGTAATGGGTTTCTTTTTGGGGTGATGAAAATGTTCTAGAATTAGGGAATGGTAATGGTTGCACAACCCTATGAATATACTAAAAGGCACTGAATTGGACACTTTTAAGTAGTGAAATTTCTGATGTATAAAATATCTCTTTAAGGCCAGGCGTGGTGGCTCAAGCCTGTAATCCCAGCACTTTGGGAGACCGAAGCGGGTGGATCACGAGGTCGAGAGATCGAGACCATCCTGGTCAACATGGTGAAACCCCGTCTCTACTAAAAAATACAAAAAATTATCTGGGCATGGTGGCACGTGCCTGTAATCCCAGCTACTCAGGAGGCTGAGGCAGGAGAATTGCTTGAACCCAGGGGGTGGAGGTTGCGGTGAGCCAAGATCGCGCCATTGCACTCCAGCCTGGGTAACAAGAGAGAAACTCCGTCTCAAAAAAAAAAAAAAAAAAAAAAAATCTTTAAATAAAAAGTATGCATGTTTATTGCAAACAATTCTAGGGATATAGAAAAAGCTGAGGGAGATGCTTCCAATCTCAGCCCCTGAGAAGCTCATGCTTTGAGGTCTCCTTTTACACACCTCTGCACATGTAGACACACATGTACAATGGTAGTCAAGTGCAGTGCTTCTCCAAGTTTGGCATGTTGAACTATCGCTTGTACATCTTGCTAAAACACAGATCACTGGCCCCATTTCCCAAGCCTCTGATTCAATGGGTGGGCCTGAAGTGGGCCTGAGAAACTGCATCTCTAACAGCCCTGTTGCTCACAAGGGGCAGGTCAGAAGCCACACCTTGACCTACACTGGAACAGCACTGATGCAGTAACTATATAATTTCATGCAATTTCATCTCACAATTTTTAACAGCTAGATAGTCATTCTATGGATACCCTGTAATTAATTCACCCAACCTCCTATAAAAGACACATTGTTGTTTCTCTTGTTTCAGTTTGTTTTTTAAACTTAAGAATAGCATAGATTATATATACACGTTTTAAAAATTACAGTATAAAATTAAATGAAAAATAAGCCTACCCGCAGCTTCTCACCTCCAGTCCTTCAGTAATCCTCCTTAGAGTCAACAAAGCTTATTGGCTTTCTGCTCATCCTCCCAGAAATATCTTACATTTGTACATTTATGCTTTTTTTGAAATATGTACAAATGATAATGATTATCCTGCCTCATAATCATCTATGGGGCTAGCTTGAGAGTTAATGGCCTAAAAATGTGTGCTATTTATTGTGACCCTTTCTGCAATGCAACTTTATTGTACTACCATCAATTACTGATTAATTGGTAGCTGATTAATGGCTAGAAAAAAATGCCTACCCTCAGGTTTGTTTTTGTCCAGAATTTTCAATGCCAGAAATGTCCCCTTGAGCTGGCGGGCTTATGCCCTATGCCTATTAAGAGGCCCTACATAAAACTATGAACAGAATAACTCATTTGGATACACAGGTGATTTATTATAAATATGTATGGAGCTATTTGGCAGCTGGTCAATTTGATAAAGTATTAAATAGAGCATAAAGGGCTCAAAAAGTAACTCAATTGATAAATACATAAAAATATTCAATTTGATAAAATAGATACAAATTTAATCCTGTTTTTAAATCTTCACAACAATGAAAGATATTTATTTTTATATTTCTAGAAGTAGAGGCTCCCCAGCCACAGAATCTGGGCCAAATTCGTCAAAGATGGAAGTTCATTGTAACCTAGGAGAGATCCATTCTAACAAATTTCTACGAAAGGTCAAACAAATTAACATTCTCCTACTACAGAGGTGCACACTAAGACACACATCCCTGCCCACCCCACCTTGTGCAGTCCACTTACCTGCTACCACGGCATCCCCATTGAGGTACAGAGCCATGCCTACCAGCATCATGACTCCCAGGGTTAGGATGTAGGGTCTCCGGCGGCCCCACCTGGACTGGCAGTGGTCACTAGCTGATCCGACCACAGGTTGCAGCAGGAATCCCAGGACGGGGCTGAGGAACCACACCATGCTGTACAGACTATTGGGCAGACCCACGCTGAGCAGGACTGGGGTCACATACGCTGCCTCCACCGCATAGCAGAACTCCCGTCCAAACATGGCCATGCTGTGCATGATGAGTCTGCCGGTGGGTCTTTTAGGAGGCTCCACAGGGTCAAAGGGGCCATCATCAGCTAGGGATTTATAGATGTGGTGGCCGGCCTGCCCACTGTTGCCACCCATGGCCACTGGGAGAGGAACACCTCCTGCGTGGTGCTAGGGTCTGTGCTTCAAACCGGATTTGACGTGGAGCTGAGCAACAACAGAGAGGGTCAGGCTGGAGGAGGGGCTCAAATTCTTTCCTGCCTCTAAGATCACAAGTTATGATGAGAGGGAGGGGGTGGTGCTGGAAAGCATGACAGAGATTAGTAGCTGTGAGTGAGCCCTCTGGCTCCTTAGAAAGTTGGAATGTTTTTCCAAAGAGGTCTTCCTTTGTAATGTTCTCTCTCTCTCTGTCTCTCTCTCTCTCTCACACACACACACAATTACACGAGATCACACACACACATATGGCTTTTCTCCCTCTCTCACATACACGTTATTACACATGATCACACACATTGCTTCTCTTTCACACACACTATTATACATGATCACACATGGCTTCTCTCACATGCATGTTACTTCACATGATCACACACAGTTTATCTCTCATACACAATATTACATGTGATCACATGCATGACTGCTCTCACACACGCTATTACACATGATCACACATGGCATCTCTCTCACACACGTTATTACACATGATCACACACATGGTTTCTCTCTTACATGTTATTTCACATGCTCACACATGGTTTCTCTCACACATTTGTATTATACATGATCACACATGGCTTCTCTCTCACACACATGCTGTTAGACATGATCACACACATTGCTTCTCTTTCACACACACTATTACACATGATCACACATGGCTTCTCTCTCACACACACATGCTATTTCACATGACCACACACATGGCTGTGAGGTAATAAAGCCTTATTATATAGAGGTTATGTCAAAATGTAAATAAATTGATACCTTTTGATAAACTTCTTTTTAGAGATATGGACATTCTATCTTTTCCTGACTACAAGTTTTCTGCGCACACAGCTCAGGGGTGAAATAACCAGATTTAAAATGTTGGCAGGTCACACCCTTCCCCAAATCATTAGTTGTGTCATATCGCCCTAATATTTTTCCTTGTTGCACTTAATACTTTTTACAATGAGATAATTCTGGGTTTATTCCATATCCTGTGTTTGTCTTTGATTTATTTAAGAGCAGAAAACAGGTCTGTTTTGCTCATTATGGTATCCCCAGCAACTATCATGATACCTGGCACATAGCAGGTCTTCAATAAATATTTGCCAAAGGAATTACCGAGTGAACAAAACATATACATTACATTTTGTGCTGCCAGTCAGCTGCCTGTCTGCTCAGCTCAATTTCCTTTGGTGCTCTTTATCTTATGGGGCTACATTTCCAGGGTTCCCTTGTTTTCTGGCTTCTAGGTAGATTTGGCCAATAGGAAGCACTGGTAGGAAGAGTAGAGGTGAGAGAGAAGAAAAGCGGCCAGGATATTTCCTTAGATTTCTTTCTCCTCCCTGAGAGATTGCTGGCAGTGTCTGTGTCTCCAAGGTGGGTCCAGCAACTTTGGCTTCTGGATCCAGGTAACACCAACTTTCCCATCACCCCTGCAGCCTTGGCTTCTAGTTTTGTGGCCCTGGCTTCTAGTTTTGTTCATATCTGGGTTGCCTCACTATCTCCTGGGTTTCTCTACTCTTTCATCATCAGTGGAATTCTTTACATTAAATTTCCTCTGGTTTTAAAGACTTTAAACGAGTTATATTTTCCTTGCTGGACCCTGAGTTCAAATCAAAATTCTGAGTTGTAGGAAACACAATCTTTTGTATATATATTTATTTACAGACAAGGTCTTGTTCTATTGCCCATGCTAAAGTACAGTGGCTCAATCCTAATTCACTGTGGCTTCAAACTCCTGGGCTCAAGTGATCCTCCTGCCCCACGCTTCTGAGTAGCTAGGACTACAGGCACACAACACTATGCCTTGCTATTTTTTTTTTACTTTTATTTTTTGCAGAAATGGAAGTCCAGCTGTGCTCCCCAGGCTGATCTCGAACTTTTGGCCTCAAGTGATCCTCCAAGCCTGGGCCGGAAAACATAACCCTATGGGAAAGTTCCTAAAAATGGTTGAAGAACAAAACTGAAGGCCATAATATGAAAGCTTAAATTCTGATTCTGCCTCTTCCTAGTTGCATATTCATGAGCAAATAATTTCAACTAGTGTTTCTAAAACTATGCCAAGGCACCCAGGGCATTAGAGTGACCTCACAAGAGTATTTCAGGATATTTAAAAATTTGAACACAGTAAACACATTGAAAGTCAACATCTGTCAGACATCACATGAACTTACTAGTAAGGTAGTTCATGCTTTCAACATAAGATTGCACTATAATCCTTCTCAGGATTTCATACTTCTGTGAGGCTGGGTTTTCCAGTCAGTCTGATAAAAAAGCAAGTACTATGTGGACATCAACATGGAGCAGAAAATGAGGACAGCAGCATCCAATCTGATTCCAGCTGAGAAGCTGCACAGTGTGCAACAGGTACATACATCTTCTTAGTAAGTAGTTGTGATTAACAATAAAATAGAAATGAAAAATACATTTTCTTTTGATTTATGTGTATTCTATTTTTCAAAGAGCTAATAAGTTGTTAGGACATAAATATTTAATATGTTGGGACCTAATTATTTATAAATTGAATGGTTAGATATTTCTTTTGGTTTAAGCCACCATGAAAAAATTACTGAGGCACTAAGGGGAAAATGAACTAAGAATCTCTTCTGAGTCTCTGTTTTCTTATCAGTAAAATGAAGAAACCTGTCCCACCTTCCCCTTACAGTTGATTGTTGAAGGACAGTTGAGATACTGTGCATAATGGACCTTATTGATGGCCCACCCAACATCCACTGTCTACTCCCTCTGCTCTGATGGCACCTGGATTAGATTGTGGAATCCACTCCTTCCTCATATGCCTTTGGGAAGTTGAGTCCAGGGAAGCTCCAGGAGCAGGCTGGTTTTATGTAAAGATAATCCTGTCTTCTTTGTCAAAGACTGGTTTAAGAATGGCTTGTTACTTAACTCAATCCAAGGAGATGCAAGACAGTTTGCTGGGGGCTCCTGAGATCTTTATGTCTGGGTATCACTGTGTGTGGGCATTAAGATCCAGAACTTGGACGAGCCTGAGGAGAAATCAAACACACAGAGAATGGAAAGTTGATAGCCCAGAGAACTGCAGGGAAACAGGGCTCAAGTGACTGGATACAGGCAACCCTAAAAGTCACTGTCCCTCTGGACTCTAGGGAGTGAGCCAAAACATTTCCTTATTATTTTGGAGACTGTTATTTGCAGATGAAGGCATTCTGATTTGATACACGTGAAAGTATTTTGTAAATTACAAAGTGTGATGTAATTGTTGCTAAAGTTTGGAATGTGCTTAGAGGGAGAACATGAACCCCAAGACAAAAAGCTTGAATGCAACCACCCTGTTTCATGTGACTTATTTATCACTATAGTTTCTGGCATTTCACACTTCCTACATTGCAGAATCAACAGTGTAAATACATGTATATCAATGTCTTCAAGAACATATAATTCCTCTTTCACTAGAATTTGCTACCTTCAATTGCCTGCTTATCTTCCACTCTCCTTAAAACTTCCTATTTTCAGCCAGGCGCAGTGGCTCACGCCTGTAATCCCAGCACTTTGGGAGGCCAAGGTGGGCAGATAACGAGGTCAGGAGATGGAGGCCATCCTGGCTAACAGAGTGAAACCCTGTCTCTATTAAAAAAATATAAAAAATTAGCCAGGTGTGGCAGCAGGCATCTGTAGTCCCAGCTACTTGGGATGCCAAGGCAGGAGAATCGCTTGAATGTGGGAGGCAGAGGTTGCAGTGAGCCAAGATCGTGCCACTGCATTCTAGCCTGGGCAACAGGATGGGACTCTGTCTCAAAGACAAAAACAAAACAAAAACAAAAAATATTTTTCTATTTTCTCCTTACCTGTCCCCCTTTCTTATTTCTGAATCTACAGTTTGTCAAAAGCTAACTGAAAACACAGAAGTGTAACATTTTTTGCACAGGGTCTTAGACTCTTGAGAAAAAAAGGAAAGTATGGGTCACTAACGAAAGCTACTAACCTTGCTTTTATATATCCACTCTTTAAAAGTTCACAACCTACAAAAAACAATTTTTCATTTGAACATTTTGTGTAAAGTCCACTAATGACAGAAATCAGTACTCTAAGCTAGCCTGTTTAGTTACTAATGACAGAAATCAGTACTCTAAGCTAGCCTGTTTAGTTACAGATTTTGCCAACTTGCTTTTATCCTTTCTCTCACTGGTCCATTCGACAGGTATTTTTTTGAGCACCTATTATAACAGTAACCAAGGTAAAACAATTTGGTTCATATCCCTTAGGACAGTGCTACTCGAAGTGCAGTCATTGAACCAGAATCATAATCACTTAGAAGCTTGGTGGCACATCCTGGGTCTTAGAATCTCTGGGGGTGGGTCTCAGGAGTCTGCTTTAACAGTATCTCCAAGTAATTAGTTTGCTTGCTAGAACCATTACTCTGGGAACGTATGTCCTAGTGAATCATTTTGTAAAGTATAGTAAAGGCAATTACTGTCCTTGTAGATGTGTACGAAGTGCAGTGCAAACATAGGAAGGGGTTTAGGAATAGGAGCTAATACTGTTCACCTAGGATGTTTAGGCCCTTCACAGGCATCGTCATAGACATCACAATGACAGGGTGAGATGTGAACTCTAGGCCCTTCTGACTCCACAACTCATAATCACTGTACAAAACTACTCTAGGGTTGAGAAGCACAGGAGGTTTCACAAAGGCGGCTGTGCTCCAGCCCAGTCTGAGTTTGCTAGATCAACAGGCTGGAGCAAAAGGGGTCTTGATAATCCTGGAAAATAACAATGCAGTATACAGAAAGAAATGGAAACAAGAGAGACCATGACATAGAAATTTCAGGTGGTCCAATATAAGTCCTGGGGAACAGGACGACAGGGATGGGATTGGACAGCTAGCTAGAAGTCTTATTGTAAGTAAAGAGTTGACATGCTATGTAAATGAGTTTATATTCTACTGTAGGAGAAAAGAACAACACACGATTTTTGTAGGACTGAAAATTGAGTGTGGTGTCGAAAACACCCAGAGTAGTAACATGATAAAAAATATTAATAAGGCAATGATACTAGAGGTCAAGGCTGATAGGGCAACTGAACGGGAGTCTTGGGAAGAGATAAGAGGGGCCTGAATGAAAACTGCAACGGGGGCTAGGCAGAGGGCATGGATTCAAGTGCTGTTGAGGAAGAACTGACAGCACTTCGCTCTTGAGATATATTCATTTAATAAATATTTACTAAGTTTCTGCTATTTGCTTGGCACTATTCTAGCAACTAGGGCTTTTACAATGAATGAAACATACAAAATCCCTCATAAAGCTTCCATTCTAGTGTGTGTTGGCGGGTTGGGGGGGAGGAGGGGTTAATAAGCAAATATGTCAGTAGTGATACATGGTACAAAGAAAAACAAGATGGGGTGAAGGGATAGCAAGTGATGAGGTGGCTCCTATTTTAGACAGAGGCTAGGAAAGGACTCTCCGCAGCAGGGGAACTAGGCAGCGACCTCAATGAAGTGAGGACAAGCTCAAGGCCTATGAGGGCGGAGGGAGGCATGGTGGGAATGGAAGCAGGAGACTGGTGAGAGAGGAAGACTTGCCTGGCAGAACTCAAAATGATGGCACAATGTGAGAAAAAGAGGCATGTCAGTGAGACTAACAGGCAGCTGCACAGAGAAGCCTGGCTCCCAGCAGAGAGGACCAGATGGAGGGGCAGGAGTTATCTGCTGGAAGCCTGGAGAACATCTGCCAACATTCCCATTCAAAGACACACACTGAGTGATTTCCAGTCAAGTTGAAATGGTCAGACTTCTTCATCTAAGAACATTCACTCTGGTAAACAAGCAAAAAAGATTTCAAGGAATCACAAAATGCAATTTAAATGGTATTTAAAGGGTTTTCTTAAAAGCTTTGTGCAAACTTAAAAGCACAAGTACACTTTAGGGAAAAAGAAAGCTTTATTTAATAAATTATACTAATTCATTCAAAATATAAGTACGCAAGTATCTTAATATCAACAAATATATCAAGCAAACTAGAAGGCAGAGTAACTATCATAATTTAGTATAAGTACCCAAAGGATTTCTAAATCAAAAGTCCTAATGATAACCATTTTCAGAAATCAATCATCACTGCAGAATCAGAGTCTGTGGTTTTTTTGCTGATTAGAGTGGTAGGATACTGCAATACTGTTCCTCCATGTTTCCATGCACACCATGTTGTGTGTTACACTACACTGCAAATGCAGTATTCAAACTCACTTGAGCTGTGGGCCTGGAAGTTAGAGACTAGCTTTTACCTTATGACTTTCAATGATTTTATCTGAAGTGAGCTGATCAATCTCTTTGAGGCTGAATCCAAATTCTTTAAGGATCTCCTCAGTGTGTTCTCCTACAAAAGGATCCCTTTTGAAAGAAGGGACAGCTGGAGTGTCTGACAGCAGAGGTGCAGGGCGGGGGCTCACGTCCTGCTCCTCATTGGTGATAAACGAGCCCCGTTCCTTGTTGTGATCATGACTGACAACCTCCTCAAAAGTCAGAACTGGAGTCACACAGGCATCTGTGCCATCAAAGATCTGACACCACTCTGCCTTTGTCTTCTTTGCAAATACATCTGCAAACTTCTTCTTCATTTCTGGCCAATCATTCATGCTCATCTGATTGGGAAGTTCATCAGGCTTTAGCCCAAGTCCTGAGGAAAAATAAAATTTCTAAA